AAAGCCACAGGAGAATATTATTTCCTACATCACCTTGTGGTGCGTTCCAGAGAAAAATGTAAGACCTTTCTTATTCTGTGTTAATAAGCAATATTTAGAAGCATGTGGAGAACAGAGAGCTGTCTGGGGCATTAAATAAAGTAGGAATGGAAAGCTCCAATTGGGGGAAACAGCACTACGTTGATCCATGTAAATGAAAGTTTAATTGTCTGAAGTCCCCTCTTCTATTTTATGTGTTATGTATTTACAGTAACACGTAAAATGGTGACCATTTCTTAAATATTTAAGCCAGTAATGCTGACTAGATGGGCCTTTAATTCCTTTCTTCACCTGTGATTATCATGATTACTTCCATCAAAGTTTAGCTCTTTTTAATATTTCTTTGGAAACCTCTTGATCTCATTGTATTAGGCGTCTCCCTTCCCTGTTAAATTCTTCATCTATTTCTATCTAATACTAATTTGTTCCTCTGGTTCAACGTATAGTCAAGAGAGCAATTTATTCATCTTTGGTAGCACAACTGAAATCACAGAAGTACTTGATGCCCTGGTTTATTAAGGCAGTTAAGGTCAGTGCCTTAAGCATGTGCTAAAAATGAGGCAAATGCCAGCGTGACCTCCAAAGGATTAGACACCTGCATAATGGTTTTGCAGTATCCTTAAAAATATGAACTTATGGAACAGATTTGCTGCTGGTGTAAAGTTAGTGCAGCTGTACTGAAAGCTAAATGGTGCTGACAGTAATTTTAGTGGAATTATGACAGGTCTACAGCAAGCCTCCTCCTTTTCTTGCCTCGTGCCATGCTGATACATTATGATAGTTCAAAAATAAAAATCAAAGTTAGAAAAATGCTTCTAACATTTTTAATTGTTCAGATGCCATTTAGTGTTCAACAGGACTCTTAGGATCTCAATAAGAAATAATATTATTACACCTTATAATTTTTTTTCCATTTGAACTTGTAGGATCATTTTTTCTCTTTCACATTTGCTTGACAATAAGGTATCTGTGGTGTCACTGATACCTCACTGCTAATTAAAATGGGAATTGCAAATTGGATGAGACAAAACTTGCTCTAGATTTACAGCTTAAAGTATTTTTTTGTGCTACAAATGAGGGTCTGTTTTTTTTATTAGGGAACTGTGGAAGAAACAAGAATCTGTATTTTCTTATTGAGTCTGAAAATTTTCCTCACTATGACTGTGAATTCCTTTTTCCTAAGGAAAAATCTGATTTGTATAGAGATGCTTCTTTCTTTATCATCTTTTTTTTTTCCTTATAAGAGGTGCCACTCTAAATCATGTAAAATTTTTTTATTATGAGAATATATCCTTGCAAGCCAGCTGGTAATTTTTTTTTTTTTTTTTTTAACAGATCTACTGTAAATCTTTTATTCTTCATAAACTCGTTGTAGCTATATTATATTGTATATCTTTTTTCAGTTAAAACTATAAAGTTAATTCAAATGTATAGGAATAATATTTAAAAAATTTGAGGACAGATTAAAGACTTTAATATAGTGCATTTTGCAGATATTTAAAACATTCTCTTTGTAAATTCTGTTAAAAAAAAAAGAATGTTCTTTTTCAGAGGCAGCATTATTGCATTTTGGAAATAATATCCTGTAAAATGCCTGTAACAAGGTATTTTATCTGAAAGCCCATTGTAGCTTTGTTATTATGACTTTCAAGCTTCTGCAACAATAAAAGTGTTCTTATTCAAATGTATATTATTGCATTCATTCTTCTAATAGCAGCATTCCATCATATCAACCTATAAATAGATAAAGAAACAATTGCACAGGGTACTTGTTATTCATCCTCAATATTTTTTATTTTTTGTTTTGTTGTTCGATATCAGTCTTCAGAATAGTCATATGGAGTATTTGCATAGAATACAGAAAGAGAAAGTGATTTCCTCTGAGTACACATGTACTTTGTGTCTGTGTTTCCTTGGCATATAAAAAGTTACTGGCGTAGTTCCATTGGTCATTTTTATTGCCTTCTTGAAGACAATGAAAATTGCACAAGGCTCCATATAAAACCATCTCCAAGTGTAAATTAAATCTATGGTTTACTCTTTTGTGAATAGAGAAGAGTGTACTCTTAGATAATAAATCTATTTGTGTGTATCAACAAGATGTCTGTTTTTTTTCTTCCTAGATACACCTTTAGTTAAAATCATTTCTTCCAATTCATGGCCCGAAGAAGGACAATCTATAATTTTGACTTGTGAATCCAAAGGAAAACCAATGTAAGTGATTTAACAAGCAATATGTTTTTGTTATTTTCCTTATTCTGCTGTGATTGCAATCTTCAGCTGCAGAAATCTGCTGGTTTTGTCTCGTCCTGGGGTGTAGAGTAATCTCTGATATAGAAAACCTGAAGCCTGTCTTCATTAAGTGTCTGTAGAGGACTGGTCTTTTACTTTGTCATCTATTTTTGTTTTCAGGAAGAATTCCAGCTGTGAGATTTTTTTTTTTTTTTTTGTTCTGTCAGATATATCAACCTGAAAGGAATGCAGGCTTAATCAGTCACTGTTTACATCATTGAACTGATGATAGAAGAGAAAACGTCTCATGAAAATCTTCCTACATCAACTAGTCTCAGAGAAAATATATTGAACTTTCTGGATGCTTTGACTGTCATTTAGAGGGGAATTTGAAGTCTAATGATAATGTGCAAGTTAGGTGCTGGTTTCTAACAGAATTTGAAAATATGTAGCCGACTTTAGGAATATAAATTGTTTTTCTTGGAAATTAAAATCTCTGCCATCAGTTTATACATATATAGCAGTTGCATAGAATCTATAATTTAAATAGAATTCACTCTTTAAAATGGTATCTTCTTGGATGAGCTGTTACATATTTACCCATGAAGATACACAAATAATCAAATTGCTTAACATTAAGTTAATATGAATCAAGTTTCTTAAATATTGACCTTATACTCAAAAGATTAATATATAGTGTTACATAGAGTAAGGATACAGAGCTTTAGAATGGTCTTGAAAATCATAGTGCAATAATATTTTTTTTTTTCTAGAAATGGTGCAAATTACATGCCAGAAGTGTCACTGAGGGATGAATTTCTCCCTGGTGTAACTTTAGTGACTTTATGGAATTGCTTAATGTAGGAACCTGAAGTCAGATTTGAGTCCAGTCAGTCATTTATGTCCAACATTTCTACTTTGAAAAGCTCTTCTGAGTTTAGTCTGGCATCATTTAAACTTCATAAGTACTCTTTCATATTACATGCTTCTACCATTTTAAAGCAGCTTCTCCATCCAAATCTCGCTTGGGCTGAGCAACTCAGCATCCAGATCATGCTTCTACCCTGCCTGAGACCAGAACACAGGGATGCTTCAGTTAGTCTTACACGGTGCTCAGTGCTACTGGTCTTCTGTGTACCTATGTACTTCTGAAGCAATAGGTGTTTCTGAGAGAGATACCACAGTAGGTAACTCACAAAGATCAGTTGCAGGCTATCTCTTGTTTTTACGATATACTTGATGGAGAAGGAATTATCTATTAACCTAGTAGCTTTTGAGCATTCCCCTGTGTGTCAAGGTACAGAGTTCATTTCCCCATTATCTTCAAATCCAGCAGAAGATGTGCAAGTGGTTAAGTTTAGGAATGAGGTCAGCCCTGACTGCCTTAAGTGCCATGTTGGCTAAGTGATATTTAGGATTTTTCCTATCTCAGTGTTTGTCTCACAACTCAACAGGTGACTGCTGCATGCCAGGTGCTCTGGCATATATACTTCAGGCATCCTAGCCCCTGATGCTTGATTTTTACTATTTGTCTAACATTCACTGTAGGGATAAAGAGTAGAAGCAAGGCAGTCATTATGTATTTTTCTGTGTTTGTTAGAGGTGGGGTTGGTTTGTCCCTTCACATTTTGAGTCTTTAAATAAGAAGATGGTTTGGAGGTTATGGGTTCATTTCTTCTCTTTATTCTCTTGACTTTTGTGAGACAGACAGATGGATAATTTAACAGATGAATGTAAACAGTATATGGGGAGGGTGCAGGAATGGGTGCATAATGCCAGCTAGGGGGTCTAGTCCTCCCATGATTTCACCTGCCTCTGAGTATTACAAGGAGGCATGATGCTTATCAGTTCCTGAGTGTATGGGAATCATTTCAACTCATTTCATCTGTCTTGTGAGGATCTGCTGTGCAGATGTTTAATCTGAGTTGATCACTTGGGCTTCCCCTTGCATTCAGTGAAGAGGTTTAGGTACTACTAGGACAGGACTGGTCTGCTCTACCTTAGACAGTAGCAGAAGAAAGATCCAGACTGTATCAAACCTCTGCTACTTTCTCTCCACCAACTACATGGAGTTTGGACATTCAGTCAGGTGTCTACCTGCATATTTTCGGATAGCAAATGCAGATGTCTAAGTACAGACACTTATATGAAACTTCATCTGTATATGTTTACTTTGGTCATGCATCTCACTCTTTATCTACAGCTTATAACCACATTTTCATAATCTTAATTGAAAAGGGCTAACATTTTTTTCTCGTGCCAAAGACTCTTAAAAAATTAGACAATTAATCCTCTCAGATACTAGATTTTCATCTAGGCCTCTGTATTTGTTAGTCATTTCTGAGGCAAGTAAGAAACTATAAAGGTGGTATGTTTTAGCTCGACATACACTATTTTCTATTTGGTACACCTAATATTGTAAATATACATTATGTTACCATTAGGAGACTCCTTTAACTCCTAGTTAAAATGGAATTAGAATGGAGCTTCAATTGAGGTGTTTACTGAGGGTTTTTTTGTTTCTTTCTTTCTTTTTTTTACTGAAGTTCAGCTGCATCCTGAATGGATTCAAATGCAAACCTTGCATGTGGTTTTGAAAGGGCAGCCAAATAAAAACTCCACACCACACAGAGTTATCAAGGCAGGGCACCTGTATGTGGTAGCCTTTGAGGCAAAAATATTTTGCCAATAAATGCACGTCTAATTGTTCATGCTGCAAGAACTGCCAACATCGGCAGCTCCGTATTGCTCCATCAGGTCAGTCTTCCACAGCACAGAGCCAGTAATAAATAGGCGTCCTCCTGGGAGCAGTTTGCAGTTGCTTAGCATAATAAACAGTAATGTCATGCTCCCAACCTACATTATGATTACCTTTCGGCTTGGAGGGAGAGAGAGAGAGAGAGAAATTGGAGAGGTCCACAGAGCCTGAATGTGTCAGTGTCACGAGATAAGTGCTGAACTGGAGGGTTCATGGAGAGCTCAGAACCAACCATGGTCCTTTGCAGCCATTTACACACCATGGGTTAATTTCTGTACACTGTCAACTTTATGTCACAGTTGCAATTCTCTCCTATTTCCTGTAGGCAGCAGTGAATCAGAGGAGTAAACGAACGCTTACTTCTAGGTACATTTCTCTTGTATCCCAGAGCAATTTTCCCAAGCTTCAGAATGACATTTGAGATGAAAACAAAGAAAGAATGAAGCCAGGTTGTGGCTGTAGTGACATTCATGATATTGATGGCTGCTGCAGAGTAATTCTTTCCCAAAAGGGAAAAACAGAATGAAACTAAAGCTAGAATATCTTGTACCATCTTACATCTCATCACTGAGCCCCTCCTTGCAGGGGTTTTGTCCCTCAGACTGTGTGCATCACAGATCCCCAGATACTGTGTTTAAAATCTACAACACAGACCTAAGGAAAAGCCCTACCTAACTTACTGTCTTGTAGCAAGGAATAGGAGGGAAACCTTGCTCAGACCAACACCTCTGGGAAGTCTGTTGCCTTCTGTATGAACTGGCATCCTCCAGAGATATAGCAGAGAGATGAGGAACAACTATATGTTAGAAATGGATAACTAAGATCCTGCTCAGGTTTCCTAGTTTAGGGTATAAGATTTAGCTTGACTAAATCTTAAATCTTACAAGATTTAGCTTGACTAAAACTTATGACCGTGACTTTAGACAAGAGAAAGAATGGCCTTGGACACTTGGGTGTGTGCAGTAATGATTGTAATAATGTGCAGGATGGGTCAGAAATATCCCACACTCTGAGGCTGCTAGTTGCTATGAATGGGTTCATGTCACTTCACATTTGTGGTCTTGGTGCAGAGATACCAATATCAGAAATATAATAAATACATATTCTAAAATACAAGATATGTTTTATATTTTGTTGTGTGTTAAAGTCCATGTCAATTTGGCAGAAAGGATGTTGAAATATAATGGAATAATTAGGGCACAGGAAACAGAATCTGTTGTCTGCTGTGTGCTTTAGAGAAATGCCTTTCCATTCAGTGCAGCTCAGGGGAATCATAGTATAGTTGGTTGACTAATGTGAAGTGAATATTTGGCCTTGTTTAATATAGGAAAGATTCTTATTTCAGGAGAGCACTCATGTGTCCTTCATTAGAATAACATTATTCATAAAGTCATTAAAAAGTTATAGAGAAAAGCACAATTATTAATAAACACTAATGTTACATGTACCCAGTAGTATAAAGTGTATTTAAATAAACATTTTAAAATCAGAAAAACTGGTCACTTTGAATAATGAGGTTACACAAAATAATCAAGCTTGCACTATAAAGCTACTGTAAATTAACTGTTTGTATCAATACAGAAAGTTCTGTCTTCTCTAGAGTCTATTTAAAGAAGACTCCCTTGAGTGAGAGAAACATTTTGCAAAGGCTGATGGAAACAAACACTAATGATAACAGAGAAATATACAGCACCATTCTGCCAGTGACCCCAGCAAGTGTCTGTTTCATTTGAGAAGGACCTGGCAGGGTTCTAGGTGAAAAAAAAAAGAAAAACTGGGATTCACCTGAGAGCAGCAGAGCCTGGATTCATGCTGGCTCATGTTTAGCCTACTGCCAGCCAGCACCCCCAGGGAGGGTCTTCTCAGTTTAGGTGTTGAATTTTGCATCTGCCTGTGCTGAGTTTTCTTGCCTCCCACGAAGGACCTGTTGGCCTGTCCCTCCAGCGGCCCCTCTGAATCGTGGCCTCCCCCTCAAGTATACTCAGTACAGCCAAAGTCTGGTGTAAGCAACCAACTTAATGAGACCTCATTCTGCTGCCTTATTCAGGTCTTTGATATTAAACAGTTAAACAGGACAGGACCCAGGATAGACTCCTGAAGAAGTCTGCTTTTAGCTAACCAACAGGTAGAGTGTCCAACCCAATCAGTGATCCAGCCAGTTTTTCACCTATTGAGTAGTACACATCCAGACAACGGCAACATTCTAGCCTAGGTACAAAGACAT